CCGCCTGGAGACCAAGCTGCCCATTGTCCCCTAGGTACTGCCTGTTTATTCAGTCCCTTTGAACACTCCTCCCACACTGTGGGCAAGCCTGGGAGAGCCCTGCTTCCCCCAGATGACACCCCCAGCCATGGTTAAAGGAGCCAGGCACCACAGCAGAAACTTGGATGCAAGCTTCTTTAGTGAAGGTGCTGGGGTGCTCCAGGCGGGGCTGGGAGAAGGCCTTCGGGTGGGGAGCAGTGGCCCAGGAAGACCCCTCTGTCTCTTCCTCAGGTGGGGTTTGGAGTGTCTGCCTTCTCAGCCCATACTACTGAGCTGGCACCCACTCGGGGCGCATTCATCCATGGTCCTCGAGGGCAGGTCCCTTTAACAGTGAGATGGCTGGGGGTAGGGGTAAGCCTGGTACCTGGCAACAACCAGTTTGGGCCACTTCTTCTTGCAGCGCCAAGAAAAGCAGTAAGGCCTCGAACTACTGAGGTCTGCCTTCTGCCTTCCCTCTTCCCAAAGGTGGAGGCTGCCTCAGGACTCCTGGCTGGGACACCACGCTCCAGGCTGTCACTTTCTCCACGTGGCCACATCATGTCTCTGCCCAAGTGCCATCGACATACGTCCATGAACTTCCCAGAGTCCTCCTAGTAGGCTTGCGGGTGACTTGGAGGCAAGAGGGGCCCCAGCGCACCCCAGTCCCTTCACGTGCTTCCAGAATAAAACCCTGACCCACAGCCCAGGACCCACCCTCTTGCCCCAGTTCCCACCTTCCCCCCACGCCTACCCTCCAACATAGGGCCTCCTGCTGCCCTGCATCTCCACCTTTCCCTGCTGCTCCCACAAGTCCCTCCTCAGCCAGAGGGTGCTGACAAAGGGCTCTTCCCCAGAGAGACCTTACATGTGCATTGCGTTTTCCAAAAATGGCCAGAATTACACAGGCCCTAGACTCTGGGTGGGCCGTTTTAACTCCTGGGAGGGTGCTGATGGAGAGATACTGACAGCGTCTCAGGCTGCCACCTGGTTGCTCTGAGCGCCCTGGCTTCTCTTCCTTGAGCACTGTGGACCCTCCCTGTGAGTCCCGTGGCCCCTCCTCTGAGTACCATGGCACTGGCCTCTGCCCTCAACACCTCTCTTTGTTCCAGCTTTCCCTTTCCTCCTCCCAAGTCAAGGCCTGTACAAAGGCTGCTTTGCATGGCTTGCCCTCAGAATGGACCCTTAGCACTGCCTTGCTGGCCTCCCTATGGTTTCTGCTCCGAGTGATGCAAATGCACCAAAAATGGTAACTACATGGAGAAATAGAAAAGACTTTTTAAAAAAAATCTCTTTAAAAGATAACTGACCATTTAAACAAATGACATCAATCAGTGTGCGATTTATACCATATAGAAGTAAAAATTCTGACAATAGCATCAGGCTCTGGAGGGAGAAATGGAGACCCCAGATACTACTGTAAAGTTCTTGTACTATATACAAAGTGGGATGGTATCACTGGCAGGTATGTTGTGATAAAACTGAAGATGCATACTGTCAACCCTAAAGCAGCCACTAAAATAATAATAGAAGAATTAAAGCTAAATAAGTCAACAAAGGAGATATGTTGGAATAATAAAAAATATTCAATTGATAAAAAAAAGAGAAAAGACTGAACAGAGAACAGATGGGAATTTATAAAATAAAGGTCATGGATTTAAACCTAACCATATCAATAAGTACATAAATGTAAGTAGTCTAAATACTCAATTTTTAGAGAGAGAGGAGGGGAGAGGGAGAGAGAGAGAAACATTGATGTGAGAGAGAACCATTCAGTGGTTGCCTCCCACATGAACTCCGACCCAGGAAAGAACCCATTACCTGGGCAAGTGCCTTGACTGGGAATTGAACTAGCGACCTTTTGGTGCAAGGGATGACACTCAACCAACTGAGCCACACTAGCCAGGGCATGAAGAACTCTTTAAAGATAAAGATACAACTATGTTTAAAGTAAAAACATTAAAAAGAGAAACCATGCTAACATGGTCAAAAGGAAACTGGAGTCTCTATTCTAATATTAGACAAAGTTGACTTCAGAACCAAGAAATTAAAGAAATAAAGACTACTTCATGTTGATAAAGGAGTCAGTTTGTCAAGAGGGCATAACATTCTTAAACATTTATGAACCTAATAATAAAGGAAGTAAAAACAAATAGAACCGTAAAGAGAAATAGACAAACTCACAGTTAGTATTAAAGGTTCCAATACCCCTCTCTCAATAATTGATGGAACAAGTAGGCAGAAAATCAGCAATGATACAGTGACAGGTGCATATCAACCAACTTGATCCAAGTGACACTTACTGACTGCCCCCCCACCCCCAGCACCAGAAGAATCCACATTTTTTTCAAGGACAACAGAACATTGACTAATGCAGGCTATATTTGGGGCCATAACACAAGTCTCAATAAATGTAAAAAGACTTATGTGAGACAAAGTGTGTTCTCTGACATGGAAGTAACCTAAAAATCAATACAGAAACATCCCTGGAAAATTCCCAAGTAAATACACTCTAATTCAGGGTCAAAGAGGACATCAAAAGGGAAATTCATATTTGGAATTGAGTGAAAATGAAAACATATCAAAACTGTGGGATGCCACTAAAGCCGTACCAAGGGGGAAATTCATAGTACTGAATGCTATATTAGAAAAGAAGAGAGGGTTTGCCATCATTTCAGGGGCACACCTGGGATGGGGATGGGCACCAGCCTGAGCATCTGCATGCCTCAAGAAGGGCCAGCTGTGCCCAGCCCCCTGTCCACACAACACACCTGGCTGGCCTGCTCCTGGGCCCTGCTCTTTGTCCCACCTGGTAGCCAGCGACAGTGTCTAGGCTCCCTTTCCACGTGGAACATGGGTTTTTGAGCCCAAAGCCACCATATGACAGAAGTGGGGTCCCTTCTCACCCCTACCACTCCATGCCCCACCTCCCAGGGCCTCTTCTGGCCAGCCCCCCATCCCCAGGGGCTGGAGATACTGGTGTGCTGAAGGCTGTTTGTGCTGAGCATTGGGTCTGTGTTCTCATGGCCAAACCCCCTTTCCCCCACAGGGGCTCTGCCCCACCTGCATCCTTCCTCGCTCCTCTACTTCCCTGTGGTGCCATGCCAGATAGGGGCTTGGTCAGCACCAGCCCAGCCTTGCTTTCTTCAGGAGGTTCAGGCACTAATTCAGACACACACAAGGAAGGGCAAGACTGACGAAGGTTGGCACCCATGCCTGGCCCTGACACCCCATCCTTCCCTTTTGCCAGCCAGGCCACAGCTCGGGCACCCACTCATCCACCCAGATACCACCTTCCCAGAGTCCTGAGCGGATGTGGGGCAGGCTGGGGCAGCTGGCTGTCATCCTTATTAAAATTCTTCTTCAAACACTCCCGTGAGTGGCCTGCTAAAGATAAACTACCAGGAGAGAGACCTTCAAAGAAAATGCTTTAATGATGCAATTATCTTCAATCAACTCAGAACATCTTTATTACATTAGTAAGGGGCAATCCATCTTGGAATATAGAAAGAGCTGATCCTGCAGCAGACACCAGGCCTGGCCCTGGGGCCGGTCTGAGGGCCCCTTTCAGCCTTGCTTCTACATTTGCATGGAGAAAAAAACTTTCTAATTGAATTTTTCTGGCTGAGCTAGACGGTTACACTGTCCCCAAAAGCTGGATTTCATTAAAGCAACTTTAGTTTCTCAAAAATAAATATAAATCGATTTAGGTTGCTGTTTCTGTGTTCTGGGATATTAACAAGATAGTCATTACCCGCAAACCAATCTCATGATTTATTCTAAAACTCAAGGAGAGATTGTGGAGTGGCGCCTCCTCTGTAGCACTCAAGAAGGTTTTAAACCAAAGATTGGTCCGGTTTTGGAAAAAAGAATTCAAGTAAGCACAGGTTTCTGTCGGGCCTCGGTTCTTCTTCCGAGCCTGGGATGGGGATCCCGCCTCTGCAGGCGCCTCCGGGAGCAGCCCCGCCGACCCGGGTCGGTAGGAAGCCCGCTCCCCGCCCCCCCCCCCCAGCCCCCCAGGCCCCTCGCGGCTGGGTTTTCCCAGGTCCCACAGGTCCCAGTCTCACGACGATTTTCCGAGCAAGTGCGGGGCGGAAGAGACTGAAGGTGAACCTAACACCCAGCGGCAGACTCCGAGTTCCTGGCCAGGAACCGCCCGAGGCGCCCCTCCAGGGTCCCCAGCCCGGCGTCGGAGGCGGGTAGGAGGTTGGGCCCTGTCGCCTCCCCCGAGGTCCCCACCGGCTGCTCCTAGAACCCGGCCGCGGGACGCCCAGGCAGTGGGAGGGGCGGCCCCTGACCCAGAGGACGCTCTGCCGCTACAGGTGCATGGAAAGCACTCGGAGGCAAGGGCACCTCGGCCCTACTTCAAGGTGGTGGAATGGAGGAAACCCAGTTTCCAGTCTGCATGCGGGGTCCGTCAAATGGGCCCCCAGGGTGAGGAGAGAGCGCCGGGGCCAAAGAAGGCACGTTCCGAGGGTTCCAGCTTGGGGTTGGGGTGCAGAGGGGAAGAACAGCCGGCGAGCGACAGAGCGACGACGAGGCGGGAGGCGCCTGGCGCCAAGCTCTTCGCTGCGCAGGATCTGCGCGCGGTCAAGGGCGGGTGCTGGGACCACGACCTCGCCCCGTTGCGCCCGCTGTCCACTCTTCGGAGTGGGGAGGCTGAGGCCAGCTCCGGGTGCTCTCGGGGCGTCTCAGCAGCCTCCTGGACAGGAGGAGCGTGGGCCGGGCACGCAGCGCTCCGGGAGAAGGCGGCGGGCACAGGGAGAGCGCCAGGGGCGCGCCAGGAGGGCTCCGGGCCCGGGATGGACGCGCGGGTGCCAGGCGGCGGCCCCGCCCCTCCCTATCCTTTCCGCCCCCGGGGTCAGCAAAGCCAATGGACGCCTGGGCCATGCGACAGCGGCCAAGGCGATTGGACAGCGGCTCATGAAAAGGACACCGCCTTTTCTTAGGGTACGGAGGGCGGGGTCGCCTCCGCGTCCCAGGCAGTCGCACGACGTGCTGCCCCCGCGACGCGCCTGCCGGGCCCCGCAAGCCCCGCGCCCGCTGGCTTGCGCATGGCCCCGGCGTCGCTCGTCATGAACTCCTCTGGGCTCAGGACGTGTGGCGGGGACCGCGCGGGGCCCGGCCCGCTGCCCTTCAGTGTCGAGTCGCTGCTGGAGGCGCAGCACCGGCTGGGCCCGGAGCCCGCGGAGCCCCGGGAGGAGAGGCCGCGGGGCGCTGCGGAGTCCCGGGCCAGGTTCCCGCCGGCCGCCCGCTCGTCCTCCCCACGTAAGTGCCCTGTCGCACGGTCCCAGACTGCGAGAGCCCGCCCGGGGCAGCTCGAAGGACCAGGGCGGGAGGGGCGCTGTCGCTTCTAACTTCGGAAAGTGACCAGCCACGAACCGCCCTGCCTTAGTACCAAGAGAGAAGCCAGCCCACCCGAGCCGTCGGGCGCGCGCACACCCCGCAGCCGTTCCCGCGCCCCACACAACCAGGCTCTCGCTCTACCTGGGAGCGGAGTGGGCACCCCAAAGCCCTGAGGCTTCTTGGAGCCCCGGGCCGTCCCCGGGACGGTGAACTTCCGCTTTGCCAAGCCCGCATCTCTGTTATTGAGGCGGCCTCCAGCACCAGCTTCTCGCCTCTCCAAGTGGGCAGAGTTCCCCTCGTCCCTGGGGTGCGGGGCCCTGGATTTGGGGAGCAGAGCCCGAGTCCACAGAGGCCCTCCCCTACACGCACCGTCTCCCTGGTGCCTTGCTTATCTTACCCCTGTGGCATTTGGGGTCTCGTCTCCTCGGTGGGCGCGATCACGGAGCCGGGAAGGGGATCCAAGAGTGTCGGAAAGGGGAGCGCACTGCCGGCGTCTGAGTACCCCATGTGTGCTTCTCTTTCCTCCCAGGCGCCCCCAGTCCTCCGCCCTGCACCCTCCGAAAACACAAAAACAACCGCAAGCCACGGACGCCCTTCACCACCGCCCAGCTGCTGGCGCTGGAGCGCAAGTTCCGCCAGAAGCAGTACCTGTCCATCGCCGAGCGGGCCGAGTTCTCCAGCAGCCTGAGCCTCACCGAGACACAGGTGAAGATCTGGTTTCAGAACCGCCGGGCCAAGGCCAAGCGGCTGCAGGAGGCCGAGCTGGAGAAGCTGAAACTGGAGGCCAAGCCGCTGCTGCCCGCGTTCGCCCTGCCCTTCCCCCTGGGCACCCACCTTCAAGGCTCTCCGGGCGCTTATGGCGGTGCTACGGGCACCCTGCCTCAGGTGCCAGGACTCTTCGCAGCGCCTATCACTGCTTACGGCGTGTATTACCTCTCCTAGGGGACCTGGGCACACGCCTTGCCAGGTGGTGGCCTGGGGGGGCCGCAGGACAGGGCGGCGCAGGACAGGGCGAGCTGCGCACCCCTTTTCCAGGAAAACCCCCTGCATCCCGTCGGTCTTTTTTTGTTTTGCTTTTCAGGTTTTTGTTGTTGTTGTTGATACAATGTTATAATTGATGCCTCAAGCCTATTTGTGGGTATCTTACAGATATTTAAGAACTTAAAAAAAATGTTTGTTCTAGACACTTTCCTGAAAGACAGTGAACACAGTTTCATACGGTGGCCGGGTGGAGCTTCCTATTTGTACAAGGCAGCCAATAAAGTACGTATTCTGAAGTTTACTCTGTGAGACCTCCCTCCGACACCCCTGCTTCGGTAACTGGCTCCTATCAGAAGGATTCGCCAGACTGTCTTGGGGCAGCAAGAAACGGATTCCCGCAAAAGAAATGAAAACAGTTTGGTGCCAGGACTGCTGAAATGAAGCGCACTGATTACTAACTAGGTTTGTTACCATCGTGGCAGAATGGAAACTTTCACACGTGGTTTAGGGGATTTTTTCCGTATTTATTTTTTATTAGAGAGCCTGAGGCAAGGTGCTGTCTGTGGACTGTGTGCCTGTGTCTGTGTGGGGATGTGGGTGTGTGTAGGGGGTGTGTCCACACAGAGAGGCAGGATGGCCACGGAGCCGCGGATAGGCATGGAGAGCACAGTGGGGGGTGTGTACCGCAGGCCCTGTCCGCTGGGCTCCCCAGGGATCCTAGACTGGTGCTGGGCTGGGGAGGAGGAGTTGCTAAGGCTCAGGGTCCATACGAAGGGCACTGGCTAACTCGGCCAGGATAGCCAGGGACCTGCTGGCATCCTGCTCTGCTTCTTTGTTCAGGTCTCTAGGGCCCGAGGGAGGAAGCACGGTCTGACCCTTCCTGAGGCTTCTCCCAGCTGCCTCAGCTCTCCTTCTGGACTCTGCACTGGGACTGTCAAGGTGCCTGGGTGGATGGAAGCCCCCTCGACCATTCAGCCTGATCCTCGCTGTGGGCAGCCCCCTCCCCGCCTTCACCCTGCCTCCCAGCTTAGCCAGGACCCAGAGGTGACCATAGGGAGGGGACGCAGAGCCCCTTCCCTCAGGTCACTGGTGCTGGCTCTCCCTGGGCCTGCCCGCTCGGTTTTATTCACTCGGGGGGCTGCTGAGGTGCTGCCCACAGGAGACAGCTTCGGAGAAGTGGAGAAGTCCCAGAAGTATTGATGATAGTGCCCTAAACTGCCTATTACTGGCCATTACTCTCCCTGTGTTTCTGGAAAATGACAATTCACGATGGATTTTAAATGGAAACTAACCCAATTCTTGAAGTAGAAGCTGCTGGAAATGAAGGCTGATAATGAGAGAGGCATCCTCATAGTCCACACTGCTGTCCCCCCAGGCCTGTGCCCGTGGGCTAAGCTGTTTAAACTCAGAGCCCAACTCCAGTCAGGGTCTTCAGGGAACAGACCCGCCTGTAAACACACCAGAGAAGGTGGTGGGGCCCTGGCGCAAAGGGAGCTTGAGAGGGGCGGAAGGGCCTGAGAGCCATGACCCATGACCTGACTCATATGTCTTATGCCTCGCAGAGCGTAGTTGTTGCTTTTTAAGGCTACTCAGAACCTTGAGCCTCTTCTCACATCTGAGGTTTTGTTTGTTTTTTAAAAGTACATTTGTATTGATTTCAGAGAGGGAGGAAAGAGAGAGAGACATCAATGATGAGAATCATTGATCAGCTGCCTCCTGCACACTGGGGATCGAGCCAGCAACCTGGGCATGTGCCCTTGACTGGAGTCGAACCTGGGACCCTTCAATCTGCAGGTTGACGCTCTATCCACTGAGCCAAACCAGCTAGAGCACATTTGAGGTTCTTAAAAGCACCCCAGCCCTACTAGAGATGAGGCCTCTGGAGGGAGGCCCTGCAGGCGGTCCCCACTCTGCCAGGCCTAGCCCCAAAGCCATTATTTGTCAAAACAGAGTAAATCCATTGTTTCTGTCCATGGGCTACCTTCAGTATAGGTCTGGGTTCCACATGCCTGCCCAAACCTGCTTCTCCCTGCTGTGGCTCCGCGTGCCCCTGCGGTGTGCTCTCTCCTTAGCTACCTGGTGACCATCGATGAGAGGACTGCAGACTCTCATCTGCTCTGTTCCTCCCAGGAAGACACCAGCCGGCACTCGAGCTCTGGTGTCAGCCCCTTCCCTCTGCCTGTGGCTGTCCCTCCTTGGGGAGGCTGCCCCAGCTGGCACTCTTCATCCCAGCACTGACCGCCCTGCCCAGGCGCCACCTGTCAGTCTTCTCTGTCACTGCCCCCTAGTCAGGTTTGCTCAGAGCTCAGTAGAGGATGACCCAGGGTCTCTCAAACAGGTACAAGCTCTCACTGATGGCACCCTGCCCACTCACCCCTCCAGAGGTGCCAAGACTTCATAAATCTTCCTGAGAACTGCCCTGGCCAGTCAGGTGGCCCAGTTGGTTGGAGCACCGTCCCGCACACCAAAAGGTTACAGGTTCAATATCTGGTCAATGTTTCTCTCTTATCAATAAAAACAAAAACAAACAAACAAAAAACATATCCTCAGATGAGGATAAAAAATAATTATAATAAAATAATTCTTTCTGAAAGCTGAATGCTGAAAGCAAAGTGCTCAAACGTAATTATTGCTCATTTCCCTTAGTTCAACAATACAGAAATGACTAGAGACCATAAATAAAAAATATATGCTTTATAAAGAACACTTGTAGGATGGCCCCTACAGAGGGAGGGGATGGGAGCAGAGTCACTGCCGAAATCTGTGGTCTCTCTCTGCTGATACTGGCAACTGGTGTCATCCCGCCATCCCCCAAAGGACCGAGACATGAGGGGTGGCAAAGGCCTGCTCTCAGGCTCAGCTGTCACTAGTGCTTATTTCTGTTCTTGGTGCTTTTAAATCCTCGCGATGCACCTTGACCAAAACAGATGGTGGAAGGTACTCTGAAATGGAAAAAACCTTCAGACTAAAGAATCATACCTTCTACCAACAAACAGCCCAATTCCTAGAGCAGTCTTTTCCTCTTCTTCCAGAATGCTCTTCCACTCCTGGAACATTCCTAATGGCAGCTCTTCCTGCAGACTCTGCTCTGGGGCAGCTCCTTACTGTAGCTGGCCAGTGCCTCTGACCTGCTTCCTATGGGGACTGGCTCCCACCAAGCTCTCCAGAGCTGACTTCCTGTCATCCTCCCTGCACTGAAACCCTAACTGCCCACTGGTATCTGGACTCACTCGATGGCCAAAGTCCAGGCAGCTGTGCAGAGGCAGCAAAGGGACGTAAGTCCTTTTCATGTCAGTTTGGATTCCTTGGCGATTTTTTTCATTTGTCCAACATTTCCCCCAAATTAGATTTGAACTCAGGTTTAACCCAATAAAAGTGCAGTTAATGCTAGAAAGACAGACTCACAGTTGTAACCTAAGCAATTACAATTGAGCTTCTCTCTACCCTGCACTGCTTCTGAACGTTGAAATTAACAGCGTGTTGCCAAGAAGCAGAGCAGGAAAAGGGGGCAGCACTCTGCATTCCTGAGCTGCAGGGCTTCCGAAAGCAGTGAGCCAGAGACACAAAGTTATCCTCGAGAACCAAAACAGCCAGCCTCCCAACTCCCACAGAAGCCCACAGTGGAGCCAGCACCTTTTTCTCCCAGCACGCACACAACCTCAGAAATGCCACCTACTGACCTGTGGCGGTAGCTCCGCTTCTCACCCACAGGCTCTGGGGGTGGTGTCACGTGTTCAGAGCAGACTTCCATGGTGTCCCCATCATCCCCCAGGGCTTCTGTCGACACTTCCATGGCAGCCATGGAAGTGGCTGGGCTGTGGAAAGCAGAGGGGCTCGCAGGGCTCGCCATGGTGACGGATGCAGCCCCGTCTACCACAGAAATGAACTCACCAGAAAGAGACTATGTCTTTTCCTGCAGACGTTTTATAACTATTTTGGCATTGTGTAATTTTTAGGCTACCAGATTAAGGAGAAGGATTATGGCAAGGCCAAAAGTGAACGTTATGATGCCACTTTTTATAAATTTAGGTATAACAATTTCACTTTGCCTTTAAATTTTTTTTTTTTTTTTTGGTTAATCCTCACCAGAGGCTATTTTTCCATTGGTTTTTAGAGAGAGTGGAAGGGAGGGGGAGAGACAGAGAGAGAATCATCGATGTGAGAGACATATATCAATTATGTGTGTATATACTCAAAAGGCTTCTCTGAATTCCAGGGGTGGCTGCACATACCCTTTGCTTTTCTTTGGTTTATCAAACCGGAAGTCCCCAGGGTAGAGGTGATGTCTCACCAGGTGGTCCTTCCTGTCTTTGCTGGTCTTGAACTTCTCTGTGCAGCCTTCCACCAAGCACTGATACTAAAACAGAGACAGTGTCCCGCCATCCACAGGGATGGGGGCTGGAGCGGGAAGATGCCCTGGTCTTGCCCCACCCAAGAGCTGAGAGCTCTGACCCTGAGGCAGACAGCTCCCATCCAAGCCCCCGATATGACTGCTTCACCCACCATGTCCTGCCGCTCAGACAGGACCTGGAACAAGGAATCGTGCCACTCCAAGATGTGGATGTCCAGCAGATGTCCCGAGGGGAAGGCCCGCTTGCAAAAGGAGCACACGTTTCTGTGCAGAGTGTGGTAGTGATGCTCATAATCCTCCAGGGTGTCGAATACCTGGCAGCAGCCCGCCATCTGACAGGTGAACTCAGGCACCCTGGCAAAGGAAACCACTGCTGGCTGACAAAAAACATTAGGCTGTCGACAACTTCCCTTCAAGTGGGAAAGCTCTGAATGTTTCTTTCCCAATTCCAAATCTTGCTTTCTTTTTTGTAGCTTTTCTTTTACTTTCTTTTTAAAAAATTATTTATTGATTTTTAGAGAGAGTGAAAGGGAGAGGGAGAAAGAAACATCAATTTGTGGTTACACTTACTTGTGCATTCATTGGTTGATTCTTGTAGGTGTCCTGACCAGGTTCCCTGAAACCTTGGTCCATAGGGACGATGCTCTAACCAACTGAGCTACCCCGCCAGGGCCCAAATCTTTCTTTGTTGAGAAGTTAATTTTCAGAGACCAGCCAGGTAGCGGGGAGATCAACAAAGCGGGGCTAGGACGGTGGTTCAGGCAGAGCGCTGTGACAGGTCACCAGGGAGGGGCAGGACTGGGGGCCCGGGAAGGGGACAAAGTGGGGGGCGAGGAGAGGCGGCGCTGGGCGCAGAGCAGCTCACCTGGGCCTCTCGGGAACCCCGGCCACACCCGTAAGGACGTCCTGGAGGTAGAGGTGCCGCTGCACGTCCCCTTCCTACAGAACACGGTGGGCGCACAACTGAAGGTCCCGCCCACCCGGGCTAGGACCCGCCCCGCCTTAGCCCCGCCCCACAGCTGTAGGCCCCGCCCCGCGGAGCCATGGCCCCGCCCAGGCCCCGCCCCCACAGCTGTAGGCCCTGCCCCTAGACAACTCCCCTTTCCCTCAACTCACGCACCTCGAAAAACTCATGCTCCCGCGGGAAGCGTACCAGACGCGCCGCAAAGCGGAAAGGCGCGGCCCCGGCCGCGGGGTCTCGCTCCACGGGCAGCGGCTCAGCCGCCCCGGGCCCCGCCGCCAGGCGGGCGTGCACCGCGGGCGGCAGCTGCATCGTCCGGTTTGCCGCGTAGCCACAACCTGTCGGCCACCGTCCACGAGCTTGCCGGGGCCGGACGTGACGTCGCGCGCCACTTCCGCTTCCGGCACCGGCTGCGCGGCGGATTTCAGCGGGTGTGGGCAGTGGCGCGGCGCTGGCGGTGAGTGCGGGCGGGCGCCGAGGGGCCCGTTCGCGGCGGGGCTGCCCTCCGAGTCGACCCCAGCCCGTGCGGAGCAGAAGCCGTGCTTTGGGGCAGCTCAGTCCCGAAGCGGACGCCGAGGCCCCTCCCAGGTCCTAGTGGTGCAGGGTCCCTCCCGGGCCGCTGCCGGCACCCTCGCCCGCACGGCTTTGTCTCTGGCTGCGGCGCCCTCTGGGTCATTGTCTCCCAACCAGTCACCAACGAGGTCCCCAGGAAACTCAGGTTTTATTGGAAGTCGTCTTTGTCTAAACTGGCCTTCAGTGGCTCCCATTACCTTAGTCCCGTGTCCTTCTCGCGGCCGGTCTGGCCCTGCACGCTCCGCCTGCCTTTCCGTCTCCTGCAGCCGCTCAGCTCCTGAGCTGCACAGGGCGCGGTGCCAGGAGCTCACGGCGCAGAAATCGAAGGAGATCAAGCAGTTACCTGATTAAAACGTGATAGGTAGACACATGAGGGACGCAGGTGTGCATGAGACTTACTGGAGGGTGGACCAGGTGCGCACAGACTCTGGCTCAGAATGTTTCAGCATCGAGCACGACGTGCGCATGTATACGTGCAAGGGCTAGGGGGGGTGCTTCTTTAAGGCTTAAGCAATTGAAAATATGTAATAAAGTTTGGTCATTTCATTCTGGGAGTGAAGGTTGTGGCTACATCGCCAGCTGGTCATTCACATGCCCAGGAAGAGCACTGGACAGACCCAGACTTTTCATCACTTAATACTTTTTCTGTCTCTGAGAAAGCATTAGGGTTGTTGACGTTTTCCACCAAGTTTTCAAGCCCTACTCCTGCAGCTCAGGTGGTTGAGCCTCAGTTGAGCATTTGTCCATGCACCCAGAGGTCATTGGTTGATTGCCAGTCAGGGCATATACCCGGGTTCTGGCTTGATCCCCAGGAGGGGGCATGCAGGAGCCAGTCATTGATGTTTATCTCTCCCTCTCTCTAAAAAAAATAAATACATATTAAAAAATGTTTTTCAAGCCAATTTGAGAAATTAGCTTTGAACTCCCAACAGAGACTCACTTTCCTCTGTGTTCACCAGTGTGCGTGAAGTAGGCGTCTTAGCTCACTAAGGCGGCGGCTCACGCGTGGACGAGGTAGTTTTCATTCCCACACAGAAGTCTGTCCGTTTGTTCTGACTGATGGAGAGAACTCTGGAGTGTCACAGAGGTCAAGTGAGCCGTTGCAATGAAATGTTCTTCAGAGTTGCATTTAGTGTGGATGCTGCTGATGTTTAGCATCCTGGCCTCTTGCGCCTCCCAGTCACCAGGACAACCAGGGGTCCCTCGGGGGCCCTGCCTGCAGCTGAGAGCCCCCATTCTTGCAGGAATTGTTCCCAAATCCACAGAGAACAGTGGGCGCCTCAGACATGGGGACAGGAAGATAGTTTTTAAATAAACACTCACTTGATCATGATCTTTCTTCAGAAGAGCTCTCTCAACCCGCTTGTGTCTGGGGGAGGTGTGTGCGCTTGCGGTGGTAAACAGTGTCCTTGCCATTTACATGGCCAAAGGATCCTGCGTCCAGCGCGTACAAGGACAACCCACAGAAACCACATGGAATGTGGGGAAACTGGTTCCCTTGGACTTGAGGTCGCCAGGGGGAAGTTCTGTTGTCTTCTCTGTTTGCTGGGTTTGCAGCGCCTCGCTCATGGCCCGTTGGGAGTCATGGGGTAGCAGTGGTCTGGGCGTCAGTGGGGCAGATCCAGTTTTCCTACTGTAAAACCAGCCCTTTCTCAGGTAAAATGCACATTTGCAGTTGGTTGGCCTTTTGCAGTAACAGTGATGTCTGACCTGCTTTTGAAATAACTTGCTGTGTGCAGGCTTTACAGGAACTGCTGCCTTTCATCTCTGCAGTAGCTCAGGGAGAGTATACTGCTCACCCCTCCTTGGAGGGAGCTGGTTTCGAACACGCTCAGCCAGGCCCCGCAGCCTGCGCTCTGCTGCTGCTGTCGTTACTGTCGGCGCCTCTTGTAGCCGCTCCTGCGCTGGCAGCCTGGGTTCCAGCTGGTGCTTACTCTTCTGCCCCCATGTTTGGAGACATCTGCTCCTGGCCAGTGTTTGATGCTTACACACTGTGAACTGTAATTACATCCAGAGGACTTGTTTTCCGTCCCCCAAGATCACAGTTACAAGTAATATTCATTGGTAATTAGCTGTGGAGTGTGGACTGGGTCGTCTCTGCTTGGTGTTTTGTTGGACTTAGGTGTCTTCACTGCAGCTGTCAGCACAGTGGCTCCTAACCTTTTCTGGGTCACAGAGCCTTTGAGGATCTATTGAAAAAGCCTCTCAGGAAATTCACAGAGAGACATGACTGTCCTTGATAACTGTTCTTTTGTTGTTCATGGATCTGAAGTTAAGAACCTTACGTAGGTAGACTGAAATGTTTATGTGAAGCATGTAAAATTTGCTCATTTTTATTTTTTTAATCTATAGTTAATTACCCCTGTGTGTGTGTTTTTTAAATATATATTTTATTGATTTTTTACAGAGAGGAAGAGAGAGGGATAGAGAGTTAGAAACATCGATGAGAGAGAAACATCGATCAGCGGCCTCCTGCACACTCCCTACTGGGGATGTGCCCGCAACCAAGGTACATGCCCTTGACCAGAATTGAACCTGGGACCCTTGAGTCCGCAGGCCAATGCTCTATCCATTGAGCCAAACCGGTTAGGGCAACCCCTGTGTGTTTATTCACTCCCTTTTATCAGCACTGTTGATGGTGATGGCTAACTGGGCCAGTCATCAGTGGGAGAACAAACTGCAATGCAGGCCGCTACTGTCCCTTGGGGACATCTCAGTTATGACTTTGATGCCAGAGGGTTCTGTAGCTAATGGTGAGACCCTGGGACATCTGGTTGACAGGGTAGACTGAGCTGAAGTGGAATCTCACCCAACTCAAATGCACAGGAAATGTGTAGCAATTTCCCCCAAAGCTTCTGCATATATAGCCAAGCTTGGGCAAGAGAAGGAAATGTCTTAGGTGCCAGAGTGCAGAGAGCACGCAAACCTGAAACAGCGCAGGATTTGAGAACCAGGTGTGGGCCGGAACAGTTTGAATACCCGAGCTGGGACGGGGCAGTAGCTTAGGCCTGTGTAGATCCAGGTCCACTGGGTCTGCCCAGCCAAGACAAGAAAATTGTCTGCCAGCCACTGGCCCACAGCCCTGCGTGGTGATGTCACCAAGGGTGAAGGAGGGTTCAGGCCTTGGAGTCCACACTGTCTGCACCTGCAGACTCCCGAGCGGAGGAGTGGGCCTAGAAACTGGCTGGAGTGTGGATTGCCAAAGGGAGCATGTCCACTGGAGACCATGCCCGTGAGAAATGACAAACCCTACCAAGAGCGCCACCTGCAGGGAGAGAACTCACTCCAGGAACAAGCCCTCCGGGGAATAGACAGCCGGCAGTAGGTGGTTATGGTCTACGAGGGGCATCGTGTGGCCCACATGGTGATTTCGTTTCTCCTAGACCTGACATTGGCCAAAATTGGTTGCTTTAAAAATTTCTTACTAGCCAAACCGGTTTGGCTCAGTGGATAGAGCGTCGGTCTGTGGACTGAAAGGTCCCAGGTTCGATTCCGGTCAAGGGCATGTACCTTGGTTGCGGGCACATCCCCAGTGGGAGGTGTGCAGGAGGCAGCTGGTCGATGTTTCTCTCTCGTCGATGTTTCTAACTCTCTATCCCTCTCCCTTCCTCTCTGTAAAAAAATCAATAAAATATATTTTTAAAAAAATTTCTTACTAGTAGGGTTTTGTTTTTGTAAGTAGCTTTCCTCTTATCTTTAGGAGAACATATTGTGATGTCTCAGGGCCAAAACTATGAGTGAATTTCGGATTCACCACGATGTCAATGAGCTGCTCAGCTTGCTGCGTGTCCATGGAGGGGATGGGGCCGAGGTGTACATTGATCTCCTGCAGAAGAACAGGACCCCGTACGTCACAACCACTGTGTCTGCACACAGTGCCAAGGTGAGTGCCCATCCCTGCGCTGCTGTCACTGGTGAAGACAGCCCGTCCCTGTGCTGTGCACAGAGCTCACCTCCCTGGCTCCTGACGGGGTGCCCTAGCAGTGCCAGTGATGATGTCGGACAACTTGGCAAGTGCTTTCCATGGACCAAGTGTCTGCTCAGCTCAGTGCCTCTGCTGACCCCGTGGCCACACTGAAATCTCTTTAAAGTGTACTGTTTTTCTTTATTCAAAAAATATATGATTCAAAATTATAGATCAGCAGTAAAAGGTAACTTTGAAATCTTTTAAAAAAACACATTAAGAAGCTTCAGTTATTTAACCAGCTTAATACTGGCACAAAGATAATTAGAAAAATTCACTGAGCCCTGGCCAGTGTGGCTCAATAGTTAGAATGTTGGCCGAGCACCAAAGG